GCTCTCTTATCTCTTTGGCACCCCCACGATCCAAGTGGGAACCGCAGTCCGAGTACCCACTGCACCCGGCTCCTCTAGACAGTGTCTTACAGAGCATGTTCGCATCGCTTTATTGTGGTAGCCGTAGCAACGTGGACAAGCTACTCGTTCCCAGAAGCATCCGTGAACTGACTGCCTCTGGTCACACCTGGAAGTCCGGAGAGGCAGTATCTGTGACCAACTCAAATTTGACATCGGGAGAGGCGTCTTTGTACGATCCTGCAAGTGGGTCGCTAATCATGCAGCTCAACGACGTGTCATTCTCCCCAATGTTTGATGGCCGAGAGAGCGTTTACATGTCACACATTTATACTCAGTTGACGTGGAAGCCAGATTTCCGACTCCTGGATACAAATGAGAAACTCCAACAAGCACTGTCCGGTTGCGATGACAACACCGTGGCCCATGTACAGGAGATTCTCGATTTGGCAGCTCACAAAGCACCAAATTTGAGGGTTCTCGAGTTCAACCTCGTGCCGGGAGACGTGGAATCTCTGTGGCTCGCAGGAGATCCCACACCACGCCCGGTTCGCACTGCCCTCACCGAATTCCATTTTGCTGCCACCAGCGCAGACGCTGTGCTAACCGCGGAAGAGAACTATGCAGAGTGGCCTGCGGCACGAGGTGCCCGCTTCAGTGTGCTTGATCCCTTCAGCAAAGCTTTTACCGTACCCGCAGGAAGCTCCAAATTTGACCTTGTGGTAATCAAGTGGACTCAACATGAATACTCTGGCGAGCTCGAGACACTCGCGGGCAACCTGCGCAGTCTTACTTCTGAGGGTGGCAGCGTGGTATTCTATGATCCGAGAAAATCCAGTGCGTCGGATGAAAATCGATTGGTGAACGAGAACAACTCTCTGAGCGCACTGCAACGGTTCGGTCTCACCAAGGTTCGCCAGACAAGGAGTGGTGGTTGTATCGTCGCAGAGGTCAACTCTGAACAGGCTCCCTTGCCCAGCAACAATAATAGTGTGTACATTGTGCGTTTCTCATCTTCGCAATCAACTGTTGTCGATCACACCGTTTCGCAACTTCGAGAAGTTGGCTGGAGCTTGATTGAGATTTGCGTCAACGATGAATCCGGCCACGGGCTTGCGGAGCTCCCGCACGGAGCAACGGTGCTCGTTATTGACGAGTTGACTCGGCCGTTACTCGCCATGGCAACAGAGGATGAATGGACAGCTCTCCAAGCGATAATACAGAAAGAGTGTCACTCGGTTTGGGTGACGCAAGGCTCGCAAATCAAGCCTACTGCGCCCCTCAAAGCCGTAGCCCATGGCGTTTTTCGTACTGTCCGCGCCGAGGTACCCATGATTCGCATCATGACACTGGACGTCGAGTCCGCCACAACGGAGAGCTCGGGCAGAAACGTGACTGCTATCAGTATGGCTCTAAGAGAGGTGATTTCAGCGAATGATAGATATATTCCTGTTGAGTGCGAGGTTGCTGAACGTGGCGGTCTGTTGCATGTCAGCCGGATCTGGCCTGATGCTGGGGTGAATGAACGCAAGGTGGAAGACGACACGGGAGGCCCACCACCTACACTGACCAAGTTCCATGACTCAAAGTCTATCATCCGATTGGTCACGAATAGGCCTGGTAGTTTCGAGGCGCTACACTTCGCGGAGCAAGATCTAGATGGGTCCCAAGCTCAAGTGATAGGGCCAGATGAGATTGAGATCGAGATATCTGCATCAGGTTGCAACTCTAGAGATGTCAATATGGCCTTGGGACATTTGTCTGAGAGCTCGGATAGATTCGGCTGGGAAGGAGCTGGCGTGGTCGTCCGCGTAGGCGACTCCGTCAGCACTCGCCATGTCGGTCAGCGAGTGGCAGTGTTTGGCAGAGGCTGCTTTGCCAACCGAGTGACGGTCTCATGCAAGGCTACCTTCCCCTTGCCTGATGATATTACATTCGAGGAGGCTGCAGCGTTACCAGTCGCCTTTATCACCAGCTTATACGCACTTCGTCATCTCGCACATGTACAGAAAGACGATCGTGTCTTGGTCCATTCAGCTTTTACCGAAATTGGAATCTCCTGCGTTCGCCTTTGCCAACGTTCAGGGTGTGATGTTTTTGCGACGGTCGGAACCCTAGAGCAGCGCAAGTTTCTGGCTCAAGAACTTGGACTGCCGGAAGACCATGTCTTCACATCGGAGCCTACATCATTTCCTCGCGCGCTGCATGATGCAACCAAGGGTCATGGACTCGATGTCATTATCAGTCAGCCTACAAATGGCAATCTTGACTATGAGAACGTGCGGCTACTTGCCTCTGGTGGACGAGTTATCAGAATCACGAACGGAGGCGCCGATTTTGGGAATTTGCTGTTCACTGGATCACTCGCTGCCAACTGTTCTTTCCAGAGCTTGGATATAACAGCTTTACCCCGGGGAACTATTGAACTGTAAGTCAATTCTCGGTGAAAGATCGTCTTACCCCTTTATCAAGTGTTGGTACTCACCTTTGCAGTGTCTTCTCGGAGCTGTCTCAGCTCATCGCTGATGGCAAACTACCGCCCCCGTCACCGATCACACGTTTGGGCTATGAAATGATACCTGAGGCGCTCCGACTTATTCGAGAAGGTACTCAAGTTGGAAAGATCGTTATTTCAGACGGCCATAACACGAAGCTAGCTGTTCCAGTAAGAATTCAAACATGACTTGAACTCGGTCGGTTTCTAACCTTTCTAGACTCGGCCGGCAAAGACGTTGGCAGAATCCATTCTTCGCCCTGACCATTGTTATCTCTTTGTGGGAGGCTTGAAGGGTATCTGTGGTAATCTTGCCATTCATTTGGCCTCCCACGGGGCCAAGCACATTGCTGTCATGTCCCGCAGTGGCTATGGAGATAAGGTATCTCAGAGCATTGCTGAAAATATCACAACACTAGGGTGTTCTCTTGATTTGATTCAAGGCGATGTCACTTCTATCAGCGATGTCAGGCGGGTTTTTAGCGAAGTATCTGTTCCTGTTGGTGGAATCATTCAGGGAGCCGCCGTATTCAGGGTAGGACATCACTCCCAGAGCCATGCTTCGTTATTCGGCCCTTATCGATCTAACAACTCTCAGGATCGGACGTTTGAATCCATGTCTCACACAGACTACCACGATGCTTTATCAAGCAAAGTGACGGGTACATCCAACCTACATTATGTGTCTCTCGAGACAAAGCAGCCCATCTCATTCTTCACCATGCTGTCCTCCATTTCCGGAGTTATAGGTCAGAAGGGCCAGGCCAACTACGCTGGTGGTAATGCATTCGAGGACGCCTTCGCAGAGTATCGCCGCGCATTGGGACTGCCCGCTATTAGCATCAATCTCGGGCCAATAGAAGACGTCGGCATCATCCACGGGAACGAAGATCTCCAGAACAGGTTTGATGGCAGCACTCTGCTTGGCATCAATGAGGGTTTGCTACGCCGAATCTTGGACTACTCTCTCCTTCAGCAGCATCCAGACCCACATCACCGTCTCAACCTCACCAGTCAAGGCCAAATGATCACAAGTCTGGTTGTTCCTCAGCCCGAGGACAGCGATCTGCTCGGAGATGTACGCTTCAGAGGCTTGCGAGTCCTCGGAGCGGATGGTCCACGTTCGAGAGGGGACGCTAGCAAAGATAAAGAGAGACAGACCCTATTGTTTCTAACACAATCGCAGAATCCCGATCTTGCAGCCGTGCGGGCCGCAGCTATCACGGTTGTGGGTGCGCGGTTGGCAAAGCAGCTACGCTTAACTGATGCGCTAGACTCAGCACGACCCTTATCGTACTACGGGTTAGACTCACTGGCGGCTGTGGAGCTACGAAACTGGGTGCGTATGACATTGGGAGTAGAGCTCACCACATTGGATGTAATGAATGCGGCGAGCTTGGGAGAACTGTGTGATAAAGTTGTCGGCAAAATGGGAGTTATCATGTAGTTCTGATCTTGTTCGGTCGTGAGGGTCTGTAAGCGCAACCCTGGCCATCTGCACGCGTCTCCCAACTTTTCTACACCAAGAACTCGAACATTACTACTGATTTTAGTGTTATATTTGCCTTCGATCATCATTCAGTTAAAAAGTTTTTAGTGGGAGCCCATAGAACTAGTGTGCGGGCATCGAATCGAGACTAGAATGCAACCGTGCATGTAATCATACATGTACCACGCGTGGTTCAATTGTTCTTCACAGAAGATCAGCTTATTGAGTCTGCTCCAAAATTCGACGCGTGAAATGCAGGAGAAAAGAAGCCGAGCTGTGTGCGACTACTGTAGGACACGGTTCAACAGGAGCGGGACCTGTCCGGGTTAAGCGCAATTTCGGGGTCCGTACCAAGCGTGTGGTATGAACAAACAGTCATTCTCACTCTGTCAGTGTGAATATAGTAAGGCCGAGGCAATATGAAAATGTTTAACAAACAGCCAGACTCATCAGCCCGGATCATGATTGCTCGTTTGCACCCGGATTGTACTGGGTTTACTGCCTCTCCGGCTTTAAATATATATCCGTACGACACGTTGTGGCCGATCGTTAATTACTCTCTACAATCAAGTATATCCGATTCGCAAAGACCCTGCAATTATCGCATTTATTGTCAGCTTGATCTTAGCAGAGACAAATTACTTGGAAAATCTTAGTGTTTTGACCCTTAACTCTTAGTTTCAGCTTGGGATCGGCTTACCCTACCTTATCGCCAACAAAATGTGACACCTACGGTGGAACCCACCACTACCAGAGCCGATCATAGAGTTGGCCTAACCCTAAACCGGGAGAGTCTCATATTTGAGTTGTAGCCAAAGACTCGGTGGCATGATATTACTCGGAGCGGTTTTCTCTCATAATTAATCGGCCAGCATGCCGTCGGTACCGGATTAGAACCTTGGTCTACGCTTCATATTTGAAGAATTTTTTTTTTTTTTTTGGATAATTAATACTCCAATAACTAGAAAAGATGATGACGTGCTCGCACTTGGAAAAATAATGTCATGCAGCCGTGACCGAAACTCGCCGATTCCCGAGAATATTCGGGATCAGCTAGTTGTTGTAAGCTCCTGTCTTCGGGTAGAGCTATCTCGGCATAGCCGCAAGTAAGTAATGTATCGATCACCGTCAATGGAGGATTTCTAATAATTTCGAAATTTCGAAAGGAGAGTGAGTAAATGTGGCCTCACACGCATTCTTCAGTCCCTAGCAGGACATATCCCTTTTTACTGATAAGATTCAGTGTTCATGGCACGAATTCAGGGGCTTTCAAACAGAAAATAACATCGAGTGGTTGGGAAATTTTAAGACGTACACTGGGCATATCAGGACCCATCTCCGCAGGCATCATCCCAGCCTCCGTTTCGCAAAGAATGTTGCCTTCAGTTATTTTCAGATCGGCCCGGGTCCTTGGGCTCGTCTTCGGTCCAACCTCCGTCGGAATGGTGAGCTGTCACGCGAGATTTCATCTGATCTGCGAATAGACGTTCATGCAAACCCAACGCGACGCACGGTGAATCCCACATAGCCAGAGTCATATCGAAAAACACGTTTGATTAGACGCTGGGAGCCTCGGACCGAAGTTTGTTGAAGCGAGTGATCCGAAAGGATCGCATGCTTCTGCAGTATAATAAGAGAATAAGGGAGCTAAAATAACCAGTCTCCTGAAAGAGGTTAGTGTATTGTGGGGGAGGAGCCGTGAAGGATCCAACACGGAGAAACCTCCGCGCGCCCAATGGCTTCATTTGCGGCTTCCAATTTTCGCCTGTAAGACAAATGATTCGGAGATGAATTTCTGGAGAAACCTTGCAAATGGATCGCTTTGACCGGGAGGCGCCATGTAATATACTGGATGGCGAGAACAGATATTATGTGATTTGAAGCTAGGGAGGCAAAACCACATGGCCACTCAGCTGGGTAGAAACGGGAGCGTGTCGAGTAAATTAAGCACATTACCCTTGTTCATGTGATTGTCTACCTAGGCGGTATTCTTTCAGTCAGTTATTCCACCATTCAATGTGTATTCGGGCTTAAATTCTAGACTTGCCAGGTTCATGCAGCATGGAATTGTCTGCGTTGCGGCTAGCCAATTATTAAATTAGAAAGGGGGAAGCCAGCCCCAACTGCTTGACCGATTTTTCTTTCGCCTCCTGACGGGATGTAGGGCCGGTCATCCAGGAATCGGTCCCTGAATTTGTTTGAATATCAAAATGAAAAACAGTAATGACTTTGGAATTGCGTGGTATGATTGGGGAATGTGTCCGGTTCCAATCGGGATACGGAGCTATTCGTGCACGCCACTAACTGGGCGTGCTTATTGCTAGCGAGAGCAGGGGTCCAGAGTCACAAGGCAACTAAGTCTGGGGAACCGGAGACTCGACCAGCCTTTCCGAAAAAGGGTTCTAGTCATTCTCTCGAACCGATTTGCTAGGCGATCTGACCTGCTGGGATCTTGCATTATAAGAACCTCACGGTCTCTCGGTTTTTAGGAGACCCACGGTTTGTCGCGCCAACCCCGTCCATCGCCCATCGGATCAAACATCGAGATCGTCGATTCATATAGCCGCGCGGAAAGGATATAATAATGTCGGACGTCAAGGTTCATGAGGAGGCGCATGGCATCTCCACTGCTATCGAAGACCGAGCACACGTTCTTGCGGGATACGGAGAGACTACCAAGCGCGAGGGAGCGAAGACGAAGGAAGTCCACAATGTCAGTTTGTTGCTCTACCAACGTTTTCTTCAACTGAAATCTGACGTCTACAACTAGGCCGATTTGTTTGCTGCTATCGAGGAGACAAAGATCGAAAGATGGAGCAAGGAGTCCCTCCACTTGTATTGTGAGTTCGATCTGACTGTAATTTCCCGGAGATTTGTGAAAAATACTGATATTGTTTATGACTTTGATAGTCTGTATCTTTGTCTCATTCTGCTGTGCCTGTGCAAACGGTTATGATGGTATGTCTCCGGAGCAGTAACCTCAATTAGCGACACCTAACGTTACCCTTAGGGTCCCTGATGGGTTCTATTCTTGCCATGGATCATTATCAGGATGTGTTCAATACTGGCATGGACGGACCTAAGGTCTCCGTGGTCACTTCCTTGTACACTGTGTATGAGCTTCCCTTTCAGTCCTTACACTGATCCTAGTGGCTAATATGCCTTCTTTCCTTTAGTGGATCTATCGTCGCTACTCCATTCAGCGCTGTCCTTTCGGACAAACTCGGTCGTCGCAAGTGCATGTTTGTTGGTGCTTGGATTATCATCATTGGCTCCATTATCATCGCAAGTGGTTTGACCTTGGCACAATTTGTTGTTGGCCGGTTTATCCTCGGTGTGGGCATTCAGGTCATGGTCGTCTCAGCTCCTGCTTATGCCGTGGAGATTGCCCCGCCTCACTGGCGTGGTCGTGCTGTCGGTGAGTATACAGGAGAATTAGAACACTCAAGCATGTGCGATCGAATTTCGTCTGATCTTCGGAATAGGTTTCTACAACTGTGGCTGGTTTGGCGGCTCCATTCCCGCAGCTGCGATCACATACGGGACCAACTTTATCGGCAACAACTACCAGTGGCGTATTCCATTTATCTGCCAATGCTTTGCCTGTGTGATCGTAATTATCTCCGTTTGGTTCATCCCCGAATCGCCTAGATGGCTCATGACCCAAGGCCGGAACGAGGAGGCAATCGCGTTCTTGGTAAAGTATCACGGCAATGGAGATCCCAATGCCCGTCTGGTCCTTCTTGAAGTCGAGGAGATGAAGGAAGGTATTCGCATCGATGGTATTGACAAGAGATGGTGGGATTGTAAGTCTGAGGACATTCATCGGATCATCGGAGTTTCTTTAAACTAATCGCCTATTATAGACCGTCCATTCATCACTACTCACAGCGGACGCTGGCGTTTCGCCCAGGTCATTATGATTTCAGTCTTTGGACAGTGGTCCGGTAACGGTCTCGGCTACTTCAATGCTACCATTTTCAAGACCATTGGATATACCTCCAGCTCTATGCAGCTGTTGCTCAATCTTGTCAACTCCATTGTGTCCGCTGTGGGTGCATTGATTGCTGTCAACCTCACCGATAAAATGCCTCGTCGCCCCGTCCTCGTCTTTGGTACCCTTGGTGAGTCTCCTTTTCTTTTCTAGATGACGTCCATTGTTCCCATCTAGGTATATATGTCAAATGGCTAACTGTAATTAAGCCTGTGCCGTCACACTTGCCATCAATGCTGGTATTCTACAGGAGGTTGCAAACTCTGGTCACATTAGCAAGACCAAGGGCCAGGCTGCTCTTGCATTCTACTATCTTTTCAACGTCGTTTTTTCGTTCACTTATACCCCACTCCAGGGTGTCATCCCGGCTGAAGCCCTGGAAACAACTACTCGCGCCAAGGGCTTGGCTCTGTCTGGCTTCATGGTCAGTAGCATCAGTTTCATCAGCCAGTTCGCCACTCCTATTGGTCTGAAGAACATTTCCACGAACTATTTCTGGATCTTTGTTGGCTGGGATGTGCTCGAGTCGGTCTTTTGGTACTTCTTCTGGTAAGTCCCATTCTATGTATCTTCTCACGTTGAAACAATTTGTGAGCTAACGCACTTGGTGTAGCGTGGAATCTCAAGGTCGGACTCTCGAGGAGTTGGAGTGGGTGTATCAGCAGCCCAACCCAGTCAAGGCGTCCCAGAACCTCGACAAGATTGTGGTCCAGCGCGATGGTACTGTTACTGAGAAAATTGAGGACGATGCCTGAACGTGAAGCTAAGCCTGCACGAACCATGTAAGCAATGTTGAACAGTGGTGAGGCGAGATGTGGGACTAGGACGTTGCGGCTGCAGTGTATACATATACATGTTTGGCCTGGCGCAGAAAGTTGATGTTTGTTAAGTGGTTTAATTAAGTAGGTGGATATTTTGTATTGAGCAATATAATGAGATACCAGTGGTTTCTGCCGCAAGTTCGAACTTCGTATGGCAATCAATGCTTTACGCTCCTTGCAACATTAATTAACATTTTTTCATTCATCAGTGACCTTGTCTATGTGTACCTGTTGTGTGTTTTCCCATAAATCAAACTACAAACACTTAGCTTACTTCCTTTATGGTGTGACAGCGGAGATTTGCGGAACACCGCTTCCCGCGCCTTACCCGGACGGGTAACCGGCCCTTCCCCCTGTGGGCCCCACAACGGACAAATTGGGGCTTAAGACGCAGCCTCGCGTCAAATGAGGGGTTATAAAGCTCTGTGTTTGAGGGTATTTGAAGGCTCCCCTAGTCAGTTGCATTTGCCAAGAAGCATCGAAACAGAACCAGCACAATGACCACCTCCCACGCCCAGGAAGGCCCCAATAGCGCACCACTCAGTGCCGCGGCACGTGTGGCTCAGGGCGAGAGGCCGCCGAACTGGGTCGCTGTCAAGGAAGAACCCGCCTATAGCCCGAGAAAAATCAAAATTATCTGCGTGGGAGCTGGGTGCGCCGGTATCACTCTAGCGCATAAAATCAAGCATGAACTTCGTCTAGCAGATGTCATTGACTACAAAATCTACGACAAAAATGCGGAAGTTGGTGGAGTCTGGACTGAAAATCGATACCCGGGCGTCGCTTGGTGAGAACATATCTATGCTCTTCGTCAATGGTAATGTCTAATTTGTGAATGCTATAGTGATATAGCTGCTCGTAGGAGTTCCACACCGCTTTCTTGAACACTGATTGACTGGCCGACCAGATGCATATACGTTTCGTTTCGAACCTAATCCATGCTGGTCTCATTTCTATGTCTCCGGCCCGGAGATTCGTGAATATATTCACAACACGGTCCAGAAGTGGGGGCTTGATGACCACATTGAGTTGAACTCGAATGTTATAGAGTCAGTATGGGACGAAGACTTAGGGAAATGGAAGGTGAAGATTGAGGAGAATGGAAAGATTAAGGAGGACGAAGCTGACATTTTTGTTAACGCATCGGGCATATTGAAGTGAGGATAAAATTTCATTTTGATTGTCCAGGAATTGCTAACCCGGTCTATCAGCAACTGGAAATTGCCAGATATTCAAGGTCTGGCTGACTTCAAAGGAAAATTAGTCCACACTGCAAATTGGTAAGGCCGGACTTTTAAGCCTTGGATATTGCCCAGCACTAATGCTTAGACAGGGATGAAAAATACGAGTGGAAAAACAAGCGAGTGGCGGTTATTGGCAATGGTGCATCCGGAATACAGTGTGTTGCTGCCATGCACTCTGAAGTATCCAAGCTAGTCAATTATGTTCGCAGTCCTACCTGGATCACCCCCAATATCAATGCCGAAATGACAAAAAATGGGGATAACTTTGCATACACGCGCGAGGAGCAAGAACAGTTCAAAAACGACCCCAAAGCATTCTTTGAATTCCGCAAAGAGCTTGAAAATCAGTAAGTATTGATCCAGTTTTCACCATCACGAAGATTGAAACTCATTAGCAACTTACGCATGCAACTCTAACACCTTGACATTAGTGTTAATGGCGGTGCTTACGCAACACTCAAGGACCACCCCCTCCAACATTTTCTCAGGGGAGAGACATTGAAGCAGATGCAAGAGAAGTTGAAAGCTCTAGATCCGTCGATTGCAGCTAGAATCATCCCTGCTTTTGCACCCGGCTGCCGCCGCCTTACACCTGGCAGTGGGTATCTTGAAGCCTTTTCAGCCGATAATACTGAAATGTGCTGGAAGGATATTGAGCGGGTCACTGAAAGTGGAATCCGCACATCAGACGGGGAAGAGGAAGAATTTGACCTCATTGTCTGCGCAACAGGGTTTGACACGTCGATCATCCCGCGCTGGAAGCAGATCGGGAAGAACGGAATCGATTTGAGGAAGCATTGGAAGGATGACCCAGAGGCTTTCTTCAGTGTTCACGTTGATCAGATGCCAAATTATTTCATGATCGGTGGACCGAATTTCCCCGTATCCCATGGTACTGTGACGACTGGGTTTGCCATTGTGTGTGACTACATCTTGAAATGGACAATGAAGATTGCCACGGAGGATATCAAGTAGGTCTCATGCGTTGCGTCATGATAGTTGTCAGAGGTTGACACCATCACAGATCGATCGATGTCAGGAAAGAATCGTTGGATGATTACAATGTTTGGACGCAGGAGTATCTCAAACGCACAGCATTTTCGGAAAGGTGTCGCAGTTGGTATAAAAATGGAAAGGCTTCTGGATTAATTACTGGGACCTACGCGGGGACGACAAGTCATTTTCGAAAGTCACTGGAGAGAATCGGCGGCGAGCACTTCCATATACGATATAATTCTGTGAATCGCTTCTGGTGCTTGGGCAACGGCCAAATGGAGGAAGAGAGAAACGGGGATGGGGAGTTGGCAGATTACTTTGTTCAGGGCGTTTGGGGTCCTTGAGTTCCACTTGGCGTTCATGTCCCACATCTTGTGGATCATACTATCATTGATTCATAAGTTGTTGATTATCTAATATCTACACGTAGACATGTATTGACTTCTTTGAGGCTGCAGGCTCATCCACCCGGTCGCTGTCCGTTCCATCCCATTCCGAAATATCATCCGCGCTAGCATTCCTATCCGATATACGCATCATCCCCTTCCCAGGTACAGTGGGTGTTAACCTCCTGGATCGAGCGCCGGATCTTCCTGCATATGGAGACCCTAATTCATATGTACTCTGCCCAGTCCCAGTTGTTTGCCTTCCAAAAGGCCTCAAAAGGGACCGGATGCAGGGGATCGATGCTGTAATAATGACCAAGTATGTTTCGATGTATAGCCAGCGATCTAGACTGATGGTTGCCGTGGTTGGGTCGTCATCTGCGTGGGCGAGAATTCGAGTTTGCACGGTTTTGATTATGGAAGCAACCATCGCACTACCGGGGAATAATCACATTAGTGAACGCTTGATAGAGAGATTCAGAAAGAACAAGTCACTCACAAAAGTCCCAATCCAAGAAGTGTAACTAGACCCATCTTGACCTGTAACTTCAAGTTCAGATTCCAAAAAATGTAAGTGGAGAAAACTGCAAGGTATAGGTCTGTAGCTGAGTTAAAAGCTGCCGTAGATGCAGGTTAGCAACTTCTTCATGTTGAGATAACCATAACAGAATGACGCCACGTACAGCCTTGGTAGTACCCGTAGTAAGCTTGAACGCGAACATCCCAGCATTTTCCTTTTCCGTCTTGTGACCAGATAGCCGAAGCATGTCCCGGACATTGGACAAAGAGTATGATGATGAACATCCCGTTGGTCACGACCTGTAGCGCAACAAGAACCCACAGGATCACTCTATAGGCCTTTTTGGTTCCAAGAAGCCCAACCACGAACACGATGAAGGCAATTCGACCTAAGGTACCTCCAGCAATACCAAATGTCTGCGTGAGATAGTCATACATAATGACAGTGGCGGTATGATCCGGATTGATATCCCACACGTGGCGGCCGAACCCGTACTGGACGCCCATGGTGATCATGACTGATCCGACTATAGCTAGACACTAGGGGTCAAATAAGTCAATTTTGGCCTGAAGTTTGACCATTCTGGAGATCATTTTATTCGAATAACTAAAACAGGAGAGAGAAAATGCTAACCAATGCGAAAACCATCAGGATATCATCCAATCCGAATTTCCGGATCCGTATTTTCGCAGCTACTCTCAAGGCGATGATGAAAATAGCGACCCCAGTGAGCGCCCAGACTTCTCTGAGAAGCCGGGGGCCTACATCATAGAGGGCCTCTCGGGGTAAAACAATCATGGTTGCTCGAGATGCTCGCACTTTCCCAGCATAAGCGAGGGGAACGACGAGAGACAGTCATATCCATACCGGACGACGATTATGGATTGTGAGAGTTATATTCGGATTTTCGTATCAGCCGCTTATCAAATGAAGCGTTATCAGCCTCTTCGGAGATCCCCATAGTCCTGGGTGGCTGAACCAGAACCATGATTATTTTAACATGTTCGTATTGTGTGGAGGGCCATCGGCGGTCTCCGCGGGAGTCCGGGCGCGCGACGATAAGCGGGCGTATAATATGCGCGAGTTAGCATGAAGCTTAAGTGCCAGGATCAGGGCAGAGGCGTTCTCTTGATAATGCCTCGATTGTTGATTGGTCCCCCGCCACGGGTCCGACGGGTCAGATACCTTCGAGTGTCGTGTGCCTGGCAGACTCAAAAGGATATTTCGCGAAGCTGCCTCGCGCAGTCCAATGGATTACGGTCGTTTTATCTATAGTCAGGTGTTGTCAGGGGTTGTCAGGTGTCTCTCGGACTACCACCCTTCTTTCGTTAGACGAGAGTATTCCACTGTACCACGTACGCGACATAGGTTAACACGCTTGGGCCTTGAAAAAAACATCCAATATCATCAGAAGATATTATGTGGAGGATCTAGAAGCTCGGGAAGAAGATTAACTTGCTAAATAGCTTGCAGAACAGGGTATATGGAATTTGCTATCTCATCTAGCAGAAAGCAATATAGCACAGAAATTTGTTTAATAAACATATCGGAAATGCGGGTTTTCCCGATCGGTGATATCCTCAAAGCCGTGAGTATAGTTAACATCGGGAATCACCTCTCCTGTCGCGATCTTAGCATCTCGCTTCCGGTTCTGAACGCTATACCAGACTCTCAGGGAGAGAAGAATGAGGACGACAAGACCAAAGCATCCCAGCAAAATCGAGAATGCGAGATAATATCGTGGCGCATCTTTATCGCGGAACACCTGCGGGCCGATCGAGTTACCCGCAGCCCAGAACACGAAGTTACAAGCAATAATGATTGATTTCTTCGTTTGGCCGGCAACGTTTCGAGAGAGCAGAGCGAGCGAGAGAGAGGAGACTGCAAAGAATGAGTAGAAGATCCAGTATGCGATAAGCATGCCAACTCTCTTGCTTGGGGTGAAAGGAATTCCAACGAGGATCGATGATCCGATGATGGAAGGGATAACGGAAGCAATCATAATCCAGATAGTTTGGTGGAATTTCCGGTCGAGGTAGGCAGAGACGAGCATGGTGATTGTTGTAACCGCTCCAATAACCATGGAGAGGAGCTGACTTTCCCAAGTAGTGAAATCGAATGATTTGAGGATGATGTTGGCATAGGCACCAATTCCGCCAGATGGAATAGTCGTCAGAAGTTGAATGAGCGCAAATGCGTATACTAAAAAGTTGTCAGCAACTGCATCAAAGATACGGATGGAGGGAAGCAATAAAATGGCACCACGTACATTGTGGATCAGTCAATGCATCCCAAACCTGCTCCTTTCTGAATTGTCGGTTCTGGAGACCAGTCTGGTTTTGGCGCACTCGCTCAACCATCAATTGTTTGTCTTCTTCAGTCCAGCACTTGGCTCTCATGGGTGAGTCTGGCATCCAGAAATACACGAACACTGCCCAGATCACCGTGATAAGACCGTATGTCATGAACATCGCTTCCCACGACTTGAGTGGAGACCAAGAGGGAACAAAAGAGAATCCAAAAGCCAAGAGACCACCGACAATATTTTGGAGTCCATTCATCATGTACCTGTTAGGGGAGTGTGAGCGACGACCAATTATAGTAGTGGAGATCCAGACTGACCAGTAGTTGATGACACTTCCCTGCTCTTCTCGCTGATACCAGGTGGCAGACAGAATAACAAAGGTCGGCTGGCATGCAGCTTCAAAGGCACCCATGAACGCTCGAAGAATAACCAATCCCGTGAAATTCTTCATCGCAGAAATGAGTGTGATGCAGATACCCCATAGCAGGATGTTTGCCGAAAGCCATTTTCCAATTGGCACCCGTTGAATAATCCAGTTTTCCTATACTCCCATCAGCAACCGGAAAGTTGAATGTATCTACGTAGGTTGAAATACCGGATATTCAACGACCAGGATTGTGAGATAAACGACCGTCGTCAGCCATTGGTACTATAGTCAATCAGTATCCCGGACACAGGAAGCTCAATGACGATAATGGCTCACCTGGTTATGTTCCAGATGTGCATCCCCCATAATACCCATAATTGAGGCAAAAGACATTGCCCCCTTGTCCAACGTTTGGATCAAGTATGTGAACATCATCACCACTAAGATGCGCTTATCGATCATTCGTCGCAATCGTTTGTTTGTCGCATCATCGATCTGAATAGCCGTGTCTGTGGCATATTTGGCAACCTCTTTATCGACCAGCTTGTAGTCCGTGTGATTCTTTTCCGGGCCTTCATCGTGGAAACTAGCAGCTCCCTCAATGTCCTGGTTGTCTTTTTTGTTCGTAGTGGTCATTGTGGCACCGGTGGTTGGAAATTTTTAGGTATTTGCGGCACCCAAACAAGAAAACTAGGGTCTGTTAAGTTGTGCTGGAGAGGTTGATGACTATCCATACTGATTCCGGGGATGCGGGGGTGGAGGCCGCGGGTCGCAAGCTTCGGTAGAACATCATCCCCCATGGGGATCCAATGGGGAATTGCCCCCACGTTCAATGACAAACCCAATGCCCGCTGGCCGGATTTCAACTCGCGCTAGATATTATTTTCATCAGAACTCGGCAGGAGAATGCCGATCTTTGTTTCGGCTCCTGTTAAATAGCTGCGTCGGCAACGGAGGTGGCCGTATTAGCCCTAGTAGTGCTCCACAGGCGGGTGTGGCTGCTCGGTGCAACAACAACCCGAACAGGTCATCCCACTTCGCGAGTGGAGAAGAGAGTGTCGCTTGGAGAAGCGTCAGAGGTTCACTGGAGAGGTCAGTTTGAACATCAGCCGAGCCCACTGCCCCAGAGGAGAGGTTTCTTCTTTTCCACCAGATACATTCGAGCTTCTATGCTGTAGTACTGAGTCAACGTCGATATCATGCTGGAGAAGCCTTTTGTCACTTTCAGCCCTGTACCAGACCACCTTGATCTCATCGGTGCTTCAATTTTAGTAGACAGCAACGACTTTGTCGGTGTTCATCATGCTAGTCGAGCGCTCGCGGAGGACTTTGGCCGGGTAACAAAAGGGAAGGCCAGTCCATTCAGAGCAATCGCAGTTGATAATCCAATATCTCTAATCGACGCTCCTCGGAACACTGCAATTGTCATTGGGTGCATCGACACCTGCTGGATGCTCAAGCATCTAGAACAATCGGGGAAGCTTGACATTGGCTCTATTCGGGGCAAGTGGGAGTCGTTCATCACTGCAATTGTGAAGAGACCTTTCGAGGGCTGTGAAAATGCAATGATAATTGCTGGGAGTGACAAAAGAGGCACCATCTTCGGTGCTTACACGCTCTCTAGCCAAATAGGCGTGTCTCCGTACGCTACTTTGACTATACACAAATCCTTATAAACACCTAGCTGACTTCGAACACAAAGATGGTATTGGTGGGCCGACGTACCTGCAAAATATCACCCAGAAATCTACGCGCTACCTACGACAACCATCCATGGCGAGCCGAGCATCCAATACCGCGGCATTTTCATTAACGATGAGGCACCCGCGCTGACGGGATGGGTGTTGGAGAAATTTGGAGGATACAACAGCAAGTTCTACAGAAAGGTATATGAGCTCCTCCTGCGGTTAAGGGCAAATTTCATGTGGCCAGCTATGTGGCCCGGATACCCCAACCCCGGAGCGGTCTTCTTTACGGATGATCCCGAGAACCAGCGTATCGCCGACGAATACGGAATCTGCGTGTCAACCTCGCACCACGAGCCGATGCAACGTGCGACAACAGAGTGGTTTGAAGAGGGGCGTGTGGATGGTACATGGGACTGGACAACACACCGGGACGAGATTATCGAGTTCTTTCGTGAGGGTGTGCAGCGGGCCAAAGGCCTAGAGTCATACTTCACACTCGGTATTCGCGGTGAATACGATCGTCAAATGGCAACTGATGATCCTGGCAGAGTTGTGCGCGATGTGCTTGAGCAGCAGCGAATGCTGTTCAAGGAGGTTCATGGGCGTGAGGACGCTGTGCCACAGGTAATGGCTTTGTACAAAGAGATACAGGATCTGTACCAAGCTGGAGAGTTCACTGTGCCTGATGATGTGACGTTATTGTTTGCAGATGACAATTTTGGCTCTCTACGCCGGCTACCTTCTGGGCCTGAGAAACTCCGAAAGGGGGGCGCTGGAGTATGCTCACCCCATACCGTGCTTGCATGAAAGTAGCTAACTTCCTCGTAGATATACTACCACTTTGAGTATGTTGGAGCACCTCGGAGCTACAAGTGGATCAACTCCAACTCGTTGGTTCGTCTCTCTTGTTCAGATCTTGTGGCCCATCTAACAGCACATCACGCACGCATAGGGCAAGATATACCACCAACTGCTTGAGGCGCACCGTCGCAATGCTCGCAAGATCTGGGTCTTCAATATTGGAGATATCAAGCCTATCGAAGTCCCGTTGACCTTTGCAATGCAGCTGGCATGGGATATCAACTCCATTAGCGCGGATAATATTCCTGCTTTCTTGAAGGACATTGCCTCCAGCTATTTCGGCGAGGAGCTGAGCGCTGGTGCGAGTTTTATTTGGCAGGAGTATGACCGCCTGGTCCGCATTCGAAAACATGAGCACATCGATCCGGAGAGCTTTTCATTGCTCCACTACAACGAAGCAGATGATATTGTAGCCCGATGGCAGTCATTGGATATCGCCGTCGACGCGCTTTATCAGCGCGTCCCCACTGAACACAGAGTCGCATTCTGGGAGCTTGTTGTGCACCCAGTGAAGGCCAGCACGATTTTCACCCGTCTGCGAGTCGCTCAGGGTCGGAACCAGCTGTATGCACGTCAACGACGCAACACAGCCAACAAGCTCTTACGTGAAATCTTGGACTTGTTTGATGCGGACTTCAAGCTGTCGCAGGAATTCCATTCTTTGCTTGATGGTAAATGGAATCATATGCTGTGCCAGCCGCACATGGGTTACGGCGATACATGGCATGCCCCATCGCGAGACGCGATCTTTGGGTTGGCTTACGTCCAGAGACATCAGAATAGCAATTTGATTGTAGGACAAATGGGTATTGCTGTTGAAGGACACGAAGGCATCCGGGCAGGGCGTATCAATGAAGAGAGTGAGCGAACGCATCCAAGCCGACGCGACTTGGTTCCTGGTCTAACTCTCGGTTCGATGAGTCGGTATGGCCCAGATAAGCGCTGGTTTGATATCTTCACCAGAGGAGCGCAGACCATACACTGGGCCTCATCTGTTCCATATTCATGGATCCGGCTTTCGATGACAGAAGGGATACTAGACCCTGAGGGAGACGACGCTCGTGTTTGGATCTCGATATTATGGAACCACGTCCCGGTCGACTTCAACGAGGAAGTTCTGATCACCATCTCATCGAAAGAAGGGGACTATGAGCACGTCCATCTTCCCGTCCATGGTCATAGTGTCCCAGACTCCTTCCGTGGTTTTGTCGAAGCAGACGGCTGTGTTTCTGTGCCCGCATATGGCATGAGTACGAACCCTCCCTATAACCATCACCCAGAGCTCGGTCGTGGAAGCGAAGGTGCCGTCACACTCGGAGATTCCGACCGCTTGGATGGGAATGAGGCGCCATTCCTTGAATATCCCGTCTACCTATTCTCACATTCCAATCCATCCACAGTTATCCTGTATTTCAACATGACCTTGGACATCGATCCAGCCCAACGAATGTCCTATGAGATTAGGATCGACGATCAACCGACCGAGTTTCATAATCTCCTCGCGGACCCAGGGCAAAGCAAAGGCAAACTTCCGGCAGGGGGCTGGTCAGATGCTGTTATGGACTGTGTTTGGAAGAGAAAGCACATCGTCGCTGGCTTAGGAATCGGTGCTCATACAATTAGTGTCCGGTTGAACCACCAAAACATCATTCTAGAGAAGATTGTGCTGGACCTTGGCGATGTCAAGGAAACCTATCTCGGTCCTCCTAAGAGTTTTTGCGCATCGGGTTGAGCACATTTCGCGCGACACGACAACAATGGTCGAACGCTCCTTTCATATATTGCCATAGCTTGCGGGGCCGTTGCCTGAATTTTTTCAACATTCAGTGTCGGGCACCTGAAATGCACTTGCTCGTTCGCAGAATCCAATAGAGAGCCCTCGGCTTATCTAGCAGTTGTATGCAAGCCACCGTCACTAATTTCGGAGTGATCAAGTGTGGCGGCTCGAAGATTCTTGCTAGTCGACAGCATAATCTCTAGGCTTGGCGTAGGTAGAGAATCTTACTCCAGTTTAGTTATGATGTTCTATTTAACCGAACCCATAATTATCAGCCAATCACAGCCCGTGAAAGCTCTGCCTATGAACCGTCAGCAATACATCAGCATTAGATGAGCCGCTAGTCCGCTTCCAGCTTCGCGCCACCCTTATTGATGCTCGATAATGCTTCCATAATCCGTGGTTTTCCAAGCTTCTGGAGCTTGCTAGATATTTTTAAGTCCTATATAAACCCCACGACTCCTCTTGGATTTTGTTTATCATCAGAAAAAAAAACCCTTCTTTTGTCCACAGTCTCACAGTACATGCACAATTCGTCTCAAACCATGTCGAACCCCCTCTCCCACGCTAAAATTGTTCTCCGCCGCTCCAGCGAGCGCGGATATGCCGAGCATGGCGGCTGGCTCAAATCATTCCACACTTTCAGCTTCGCCAACTACTATGATCACCGCTTCCAGAACTTTGGCAGCCTAAGAGTTTTGAATGAAGACCGTGTCGCAGCCCGAAATGGATTCCCGACGCATCCCCACCGAGATGCGGAGATTTTCAGCTATATCCTCAACGGCGAGCTCACGCATCGCGACAGCATGATTAAAAAGGGCGCAGAAGGAGAGCAAGGAAAGCAATTCTTCCGCATGAAGCGGGGAGATGTACAGTTCACCACCGGCGGAACAGGTAAGCCTCTTGACCTTGGCTAACTATAATGAACACGAGCTGACGTGAGACAGGTATCGCTCATTCTGAACAGAATGAGTCCAACAAGCCGGTACACTTCCTGCAAATCTGGGCCCTTCCGTGGAAGCAGGGCCTGAAGCCACAATATCACACTATGACCTTTAGCGAAGAAGACAAGCGCAAGGCGTTTGTTCCTATTTTGTCGCCTCTTGCTGCCGGCCCCCAGGCCACCCCAGCACAGGAAGATGCCGCTACTCCTAAGCTTCCAGGCACCATCCCCATTCATGCTGACTTTGTCATGGGCGCTGGCATTATTGAACCCAGTTCTACATTCAAGTGGAATGTTGGCGCGGGCGAGACCGTCGAGTCCAAGAAGAAGCGAAACGTTTACATTCACTTGCCAATGACCAAGCAGGGCAAGTCGAAGGTCAAGATTGATGGCCGGGAAGATGCCGTGCTCGAAGAAGGTGATGGCGCCTTTGTCACAATGGTTAATGCTGGAGACGCGCTTCGTGTGGAGAGTGTCGGAGAGGTAGAGGCTGAAGTGATTGTTTTGGATAGCAATTAAGCTATAATTTATTTAACGAAATATTTTTGTTGTTACGTCTTTTGTCAAGATAATATGATGATTTATCTGTTTAATTTGTGGTCACGTAGTTGGCTAAAACTGGAATGCGTTCCTGCAATTCCTGCAAATGGATCTAAACTAAGCCCGCCTTGTAGAGCACCTACTTTCTGTCACGAAACTCAGAGGTAACGGTCATTTATTACTGATAATATGTTTAACAATTTTAGCGTTGATAGGCTAGATATTTCTACAATTGGTTACAAAGTCGCCGGTTATCATTCCCCAGGACCCCGCCATCTTCGAAGACATCGTCCAAGACAATCTTGATCCCCATAATGTCCATGATGATACGAACCTTTGGCGTGTGCTCGGCGAATATTCGCAGGGTTCTGTCGTTATTCATTCACTGATTTCGTTACTCTAGAACACTCTTGCCTTAAGGATCAAATCGCGTAGTTGGATGGCAAACTCGATGCCAAAGTCCAAGAGGGAGGTATCTGTTCTACAATTTTGCTAAGATTCATTGACTCGTGACTGGTTCTGATAAATTTATCAACAGGATCTACTCTGGGCCCAGGCCTGTGTTAGCTCGTATCTCTCGCCTGGGCATGTTGACTTCTAGCAATACCCTTGTTCTTGACGGAGCAATAGTAAGTTGCCATCGACTTCCAAATCGAGTACTTCTTCGAATATTGATCATTTCCAAATCAGGCTCCGGTCAACATGAAAACTGATGCAGCTCTTCAGCAAACCCTACGTAGCGACATCTTCAAGAACCGCACCATCATCACCATTTCTCAATGGATTAATAGCATCATCGACTCTGATCGAATCCCCGTGTTGGAAAAAGAGAAGTGGTTGGTCTCGATACTCCTGCAAAGCTGCTCAGTGCCCGAGATGAGTTTTAGGAATTGGTCACGGCCGGCTTGCTGGAGAATGGGCCTCTTCTGTAATGATCCGATCCATGTGGGCTTGGATTATTTGAAGATTTTAAATAGGTACAGTCCGGATGTCTAGGTCTATCATGGCTGGAGTTATGTTCATGATGCTAGTACTTGATTGGAGGTGGCTGTATCATCTAAGTAGATGGGATATTACAGACGCGCTCGAAATCAGTTTCACTTCTTTACACTCTTTAATTCTTTCTCGGACTCTATTTTGAAATACGCTAGTCCATGTTTGATCTAGCAAGTTTCAAGACATCGAAATGTATTGCAGAGATAAGTCACATGAGGTGCTACTATGTTTCACCACTTTAATCTCTTTAATTCTTTGTCGAGCTCAGCTCTGCGTGACGCTAAACCCTTTATGGGTACTACCCCTGACCCACGTTCTTGGTAGTATCTCAGTACCGTAATAAATAATAGTATAAAAAATGGCTTTCGTATCATTGTATCATTGTCGTATGGGCCATGCTCTGTCTAAACCAGTTCCCTTGCAAAGAAACAAAGGATACATACAATGCAAGGCGCGCATCGAAAGGCAGCAATATTCAAAGTATTATACACGTAAGGCTTCGTTCTGCATGGTAAGACATTACCACATTTCTGACCCATAACATTGGGTTCCTCGACCACAGTTCTTGCACTTTGCTTGCAAAGCCAACATTGGTTTTCCACGGCCACAATTCCCACAGTCTCCTAGTAAGGGAGTATCAAAATATGTGTCGAGTAATCCCTTCACGAAATCTGGCACTTGGGCGGCTATTGAATCGTACTTGGCGCGTATAGATGTCTCTTGTAAATAGGGCCGGAGATTGTCTCTCGAGAGACGAATGGCGAGCTCTTTGAGCCGCTTGTTGTGGCACGATGGCGAAAAGAACACATCAGGTATTGAATCAAGATATTCAAAAGCGTCAAATCGACGTGCAATCTTGTTCGAATATTTTTCCGTGGCCGCGTCGCAAAGCTCCGGAATACAGTATTTGTCGCCTAAGGCGAACAACTGTGCATGTAATTGAAGAGATGATATTGATGCCAGCGGCACCTTTGGTGAGTCATTTGCCGGACTATCACCAATACGCTCTGAATAATCACCCGTGTATACGAAATCCACCATTTTTCTAACAATAAGGATCGATTCATCCGTCATTCGGTACGTAGATTCTGCTGCTTCCTATCTCCAAGCTAGGTTAGAAAGTAAGAGGGAAAAAACCGACTTAAGGTACAACTTGCCTTAAAATGCCCGGTGCAAGCAGCGCGAAAAACAGGAGATTGTGAACATAATATGATTTTGTGAACGTCGAGATCGACTCCATCACAGACTATTTTGAAATCGGTGTAGTCGCCTCTTTCACGAGATCTTCTATTATTTAGTAAAGCTTTGCAACTCTCGAGGGGAACGTACTCCGAAATCTTATGAAGGATGTGCTGACATCGTGCTGATGAAGTGTTGGACATTGTTGCGTTTGTTGTATTGGAAAATAGGGGGCAAGATTGTTACATAGAGGTACTTAGTACTTAAATACTTTTGAAACGTCGAAGGTAAGGTGATAGCTAGTAAGGGCCTGAATATTCAGTAAATGTCTTGACGTAATACCTTCTGAAATGACGTAGGTAACAGAATACAAACTATATGTTACGTCTTCCCTATGAGCTAACCGTGTTGATAATATGACCTAGCAATTTTTTACAGCCTAGGAATGGGAGAGATCGTTTGAATATTCCGAGGATGGTTGAGCTCTTTACTCTGTAAAATGTACGAATGGTGACGGGCATCGACAGTGTTAACTGTATGGGTATTTCCATTAAATTATAGAGCTACTTACTCATCATGTGACTCGGATTCTTGAAATTCGCTATATCGAAAATAGCCTACTGTGTCTTAGAATTGAGTTTGAGAAAAGAAAAAGAGAGTAAATTGGTGAAACTGATTTCGAGTGCGTCTGTACATCGGGTTTTAGATTTTTTTTTTGGGGGGGAGGGGATTGATTCCGCAATATCGGCTATGGAACTCACAGGTGTTTCATATACGAGATGTATCTGTAAGCCTGTATCACCTTTGCCCTTGTTGTTCTCGGTTGCGAACCTCGGGAGTTACTGCACCGTCTGTCATTCAACCTTGCCAACCTGGGAAGGTGCCGAGACTACGACAGTCCTGATTCATTTGAGGTCTGGGTTTTGAAGCTTTTCGGCACTCCTCCCGTTTGATTTTTATTTTTCCAACGAATTTATATTCAAGAAAAGGGTGACTCGCCTCTTCCATGGCGGCTTTGCTATGGCACGTTAAGTCGGAAATCCTATAAGCAGTTTCAGCTAATATTTACTATCTTTAGCTGCAGATTTTCTGAGCTAAGTCAGATGTCAGCAATATGAATGATGTGACCATGCGGCTTAACCACGTGGGAGAAACTCAATGTTAAAAATGAGAGCCATACCACTTCGGGTAACACCCCAAATATTGGTCGGTAGGTCTTTGGTCTTCAAAATCCCCGATTCCTCTGGTACCCTTAAACGTTAGTTGAGTATTATTTTTCATTATCACTGGCCTTATATATTTTCTAACTCCCATGATTTTGATAGCTTAGCACGCAGCATTATGTTCTCAGATTGCTGCCTTTTTTCGGCTGTGTTCATATCAATTCACACAAGACTATTACTTATAAATATCTTGGAAGGCTTAGACCGCAACTCGGATAGACCACCGGTCGTGGCCAAGGAGCTATACAAAGAAACGTCATCCTGCCCGCAACACCGGAAATAAAACTCTTGGAAATCAACAAAGAAAAGGTGTTGCCTGGTCTGCATAATCGGACAATCGTGCGATTCTCAGCAATCATGAGTCTATCTCTTTCAGCGTGATTCCCTCGGATAGGGATGGTCCAAGCTTGGTACTATACGATGTTCCCTTTGTCTCCGGTATCTACAGAAACGGTTAGAAACATGCTTTCTTTGACATCCCTGTGTTGATAAGAAGGGTCAATGCGCAACACGATTATCTTCTGTACCTCGCGACGTACAGTTTCTGCCCGCACGTCCCATATTCACTGAAGTGGGTGTTGGAACTATGTGAGTTTGTCCCTCCGAGGCGTCGAAGGAGATAAAAGTGAAAGTAATTTTGCCAATGATGCTTTTTAATGCAACGTATTGACGGTTATTCAACAGCTGGAAGTTGAATCTCAAGGCAACCTCTTAATTGGCACTCTGTAGAGTGGAGTTCACGTCCTACGTAATAGGATATACAGGTATGTGGTGATATAGCGGCCGTACCGTATCAGGATATTGCCATTCTTGTGGGGTTCCGGCTCCGACTTTGATGTAGACTCGCTTTGTTCATACCACTTTCTGAAAGTAGGGATACGTCTTTTCGGGGCTAGAATTGTATGTTCAATGTGTCCAGGGTAGCAAGGTCTTGGTCTGATTCTGATCAAAGTCGAAATGACCAATGTGGCGTCGTGAGTAAAGGTCCGGGCTTCGTGTAGATACGGAACCCTACTCCACGTGGCTTTCAGGATACCGGGTCCGACATAGTTTTCAAAGAAACTGAGGACTATTCTTGGGTCAGATTAGGTCTATAGAGCAACCCCACAAAGTACTCAATGTAGGGTGGCGATCGAAGCCGTATCAACGAACAGATATAATCCTTTTTGCGAGGACGTAAAGAAGATGTTGATTTCATGCATTCACTCTGTTTATTCCTGAATACTCTGACACGCACACTCCGCTCAAATCTCGAGGGAAATGGCAGATTCGGATGGTTTTGGATCTCGCAACACTAGAGTCTCTATGCCAGTATTTTTTGTGAGTTTCGGATTTGCGTTAAATAGAAGAGGTTATTTTCATTAACTGTCTCATTCAATAGGGTATGCTATGGGCTCTCACGGGCCTCTCATTTATATTCGTTGCTTTCCGCATAACCGTCCATGTTCACTCGTTCCGTCGCCTCTGGTTAGATGATTTTCTTTCCATTATTGCCTGGGTTATTATGCTCACAGCTGCAATTCTTTGGCAAATTGAGGGAGGGACCCTTTATCATATATATGCGGTCGGCGATGGAAAGGAACAATTCACCCCGGAATTTCTGGATAAATATGTTCGGTTTTTCCGCTTCACTGCTCCGTACCAGACTCTCTTCTTTACTGGTCTGTGGTGTATCAAGTTTGGGTTCATGGTATTTTTCTATCGACTCAGATCGAAGGTCAGAACCCACCAGATATGGTACTGGGTTGTGCTTTTCTTCACTGTTAGTGTCTATATTGTGTGCATGGGGGTCATCGAGTACAAATGCAGCTTTGGAGGGGCGGAATATATCCTAAGTGAGAGTTCAAGAGCCAATTTAAGCAAGTATACTAAGGCTGTTGTGCAGACGAATGCCCCAAGGTACATCATATTCATTACGAGCAACGCACTTTCTGGTCCATGTGCGCTGGTGATGTTGTCACGGACTTAATGAGTGGGCTCCTTCAACCCATTCTGTCATACGTCTTATCTAACAGTTCTCATCTCTCTAGTTCTTTCTATCCCAATCGTTACGCTGTGGGACACAAAGATCTCGCGACGACATAAGATAATCCTGTTTAGCATCTTCTCCGCCACTATAGTGGTCATGGTTATCGCTATCCTCCGTGTAGCGGTTGATACTTCTATTGACGGTCCTGTCAATCTCGGCTGGCTCATTTTTTGGAGCTTCATTGAGATCAATACAGGTATACTGCCAACAATGACCAGATTATGTAATTTCTGACTTTTATTCTGCAGCGATCATAATCTCTTGCGCTGTTTCCCTCCGGCAAATATTCGTCAAATCAAAGAAGCGAAGCTCTCGACCGTCAGCTGCTTCATCAAATATCACACCCAAAAAGGTATATCCTAAAATGCATGGGCGGTTTATTGGAGATATAGAATCACACAATAGTGATGAGATCGTGTTATCCCCGTTGAGCGATGTTCATGTCCGTCGGGATTTTGAAGTGACCACTGCTTCTGTAGCCCAGAGCAGTGAGGGCGTGAATCTTTGCCGACATCAGAAGAGCTTTGAATAATTCCTTGAATTCTGCAATGGCATGAGCCTCATCTGCTGCTTGTCTTTCATTCATGTTTATGTCATGTATCGGCGTTGAGAGATAAAACAACCCCTGCCAATGTTATACGGGAAATATTGAATGCTTAATGAGATCTGGTGGGCTATTTCCAGGGGATTTTGCAGTAACGTTTAATAGCAGCTTCACAATAAGGCAATATTTACTGGCGAACCACAGTGAAGCCAAACAAGTAGGGAACTTGCCGGGCTTCTTTGGTCCTGGTTCTCACCCAATCCAATGGATCCACAAGAGCGTTGTGACAGGGCGAAAGAATGAACATATTATTTGCCATGAGTCTTTGTTGTAAGTAGACGCATACGGGGCGAGGAAGCGGCATCAGGTGGAAATAGATTGCTATTTATTCCCGAATCAAATATCAGGGTAGCTTAATCAGCGATTCCCCTCTTGTCAAGTCTCCTTTGATCATCTCTCCTGTGAAGGATCAAAATCTCCAAACGAGTTCCCAACGCCTGCTCCACGCAAGTACTCCAAAGGGGGTTGAAAGCCGACGAATCCGATGTTAGGACTAGACAACTCAAAGCCCATGACCTTTTGGGCCTCAGCCGACCAGGATAGAACTTCGTCCGCAGAATTTGCGAGGTAAGTATTCTCTTCTTGGCGATAAAACCCACGCGTGAAAAACATCCCATGCACTTTCCGCCTTTCCGTCTGGGTGATATTCGCTCCCCCTGCGTGATATAGCCCACCCAGCATAACCCAACAGTCGGTCACATCCATTTGTGCCGCACCGGCCTCATGCATCATGGGGGCGCGATCGGAGCCCCAGACATGACTACCTGGGATAGCCAGGGTAGCCCCATTCTCCATGGTGGTCTGTACTCCTGGGACCATAAACGCCATCATCACGTCTGAGCCCACTTTGTAGCCTGTTGCTGTCTGATCCTCATGATCTACGTGGTAATTCTTGTCGTCTCGGTGTAGTCGCTGGGCTTTGGCGCCCGGGCCAATGTCAAATGTCATAGCTACAGAGCAAACCGCTTCACTTGTATAAGTATGTTTGGTTTCGCCATAGAAGTTCGACGTTGTTTTATCGATAAACTTGGCTGTCAACGTTCGGACCAGGCGATCGACTAACCATGTTTCTCTGGCTGTCTTACTGCGGCCAGCTAGGTTGGCACATCGCCGTGTTTCTTCGGGAAAGAGATCGCCCTATTGATGATTAGGAGACAACTCTGAGAGAATGAAACCTTTGACCTACCTTCCACGGCTTATCTTGGTCAAGGTAAGGCTGTACTTCGGCATTGACCTTCTTCACCGTCTCAACATCGGTAAAATTCTTGATAACACAACAGCCATCCTGAATGATAGCTCTAATGATCGCAGCCTCGTCACCGCGGTCAACACGTTGGATTCTTTGTTTGACAGCCATGTTTGGTAAATCTGATACCAGGTGCGACCAATATTTAAATTCCCTCAGAGCCGGCCCTGATAACCTCACTATATCCGACGAATCGAGTGATTTATACTGGCAGGTGGAGCCGTAGTCCGAAGATAACAACAACTGCCAATGGCGGAGATTCTTTTACCTATCGCATCCCCCGCTTTTCCTATTAGGATGTCAACACCGACAGCACAGCGCTCATGCCTGAGCTGCCGCGCTCGAAAGGTGCGATGTGACCGAGTCTCACCTCAGTGTTCCCGATGCAAGAAGCGAAGACTTGAGTGTGAGATCCCTGAACCTCCGCCTCGGGTGCTTTGGCTGCGCCCACTGACGGGGCTCCACGAAGAGCCGGATGAGGAGTTCCATGCAAGACGAGAGCTTCTGTTTGGAAGTATGCACTTATGCACAGCTCTGTTCTGTCATCAGATGATTCTGACACTTTGGATCACAGGACACCATCAAGCACAGACTTCGGCCGATTTGGCCTCGCTAACTGGCAAGAACTCTATTGTGTCAATTTTGGAAAAGCTTGACCAACAAAGCGAGAGTATCTGCTTTGATCAGGTCTTGTGCAATGGACCTTTCCACGTATTTCAACATGCGGAGGTGCAACCTGTCCAGCTCGATACCTTGTCGGAGATTCTTGGTCCTGGGTTCTGGGACCCTTCAATGACAGATACCGACTCTTTGGCCCAGTATAATCCGCACCAGCTTAACCTGGAAACCCCGGAATTCGTTAATTTCGACGCAGAGTTGCGAACCCCATCCCTGGACTTGACTGCGCTTAGCCCGTTGGATTTTCCCTCCGCAGACACGCTCGCACCATTGAGTCCACGATCCATATTCCGTGGAGAATCGCCAGCAGACCTAACCGATTTCGCACTGTCTACAGCTAAAGATCTACTTGGTCATTACCGAGAGACCTTGGTCTCATTCTTCACCCCCGCACGGGTCGCGTCGCAGTCCCCATGGGAAACAATGTACATACCAAGTGTGTTCAGCACGGTGGGCGAGATTGGACTGTCTGGGAATAGCAGCAATGCCAAAGTATCTCTTCTGTTTGCGATCTTTGCTATCAGCGCGTTCAGCTTGGATGGGCTTTCCCGCAGTACTGACGCGTCGGGGCGCCAAGACTGGCGCGCACTCGGTGAGATGTATCGTGAAAGGGCGAACAGGCGATTGAAAAGGTCCCTGCATGACTTGTCATCTGTGATCGGGAAAAAGCAAGAGAAATACAAAGATATCCTCATGGCTTTGCTAAGTATGGTCACAATTTGTGTGAGTTCTTCAACGCCGATCAAATCGCACATTCATATCTTCGCTATGCTGACCATCAATATAGGTGGTGAGTGGGAATATGGAAAATGCAGGGCACTATTTGAGAGACATCGAGGAGATTATCAATCTGTACGGTATGCGAAAAGTTGCTCGCTCATCCAAAGTGCGAATGCTTCATAGTATTTACCTCTACCTCCGTGTATTAACCGAGCGTGCATGTGCCGACGACCGACGGTCAGAATCAGGCATGGTAGAGCTCCCAGCAGCCCTCTTAGACGATTCTTCAAATTCGCGGCTTACAAACTGGGATCAAATCCTTGGGTTCCCTTCGTCTGTGTCAAGTTCTGACGTTTCGGATTTTGATCGGATCCCGAGGCATATCCCATACAAGTCAGCATTCGAGGAGATATACTCCGTACCACAATCGTTGTTCAAGCTTATTCTCCAAACAACACAACTGGCAACGCGGGTTCAAAAGCTGGAGATTGCTGGAAGATCAAAGGTCACTGATCATGATGCACTCGCGGTCAAGGTCAAGGAGTTGGAAAACAACATCTGCGATTGGGAACATCAAACGAGGGATGATCTGAAATATCATCGCGCAGCAAATACTCCCCAAAAAGAGGAGTTCCCTTATCACCTTGTTCAGGCAGTACAAAAGGCACTGCTCATCTACTTTTATCGCTGCATAAGAGATGTCAACCCGGCTATGGTACAGCTGTATGTGCAGCAAACAATCTATCATCTCCTTGAATACGATAGGCAAAAGCAGAATTACGAAGATCAGTCATCCAATACCTGCTGGCCTGGGTTCATCGCGGGATGCGAGGCACAGGATCCTCATCTCAGAGACCAGATTGCCAGTTGGCTGGATCGATCTGGTCAGTCCACTGGTATTCGCATGTTTATTGTGGCTCGCGAAGCTGTACAAAAGGTCTGGCAGGCTCGGAGCTACCCAGGTATGGAAACTGTTCCTTGGAATCGGGTGCTAGACAAGTACAGTGACCTAAGGGTTTTGGTGCTAAGCTAGTTTTGAATTTGATTTTTTTTTTTTTTTGATCATTATCTCATTCTCCCCAAGCAGTTGCAACTGATACGTGTATTCTTCACAAGGCTTTGTATCCATCATGTGATACAGCAGATTCATATTGCAGGTACACCTGGAATTCAGCGAAAAGACTTTCCTGCGTCATGGTTAGCAAGTTGACCAAAACACCATATACCCCAATGCTCTTCCGGAAGGCTTACTGGATCACTTGTATTTTCAAAGGTAAAGCGCGCAGCTTCATCATCAATATACACCTTCTTGCGACCTGCTGCAACTGCAGCATCTGCAGCAAGTTGCACCTGGCAACTCTTCTCCATCAAAAGGAAAAGATACGCCGCTTCATCTAAAGTCCCTCCCACTGTCAAAAGGCCATGATTTCTCAAGATCATTCCCTTACCATTCCCGAGACTCTTCGCCAGCTCGTTCGACTCCTCCTCCTTTAAGACAACACCGCCAAAATCCTCATACACACTCTGTGCATTGCCGTAGAAAATAGCAACGTCTTGATTCAGCATCTCAAGAGGCTGGGCAAAAGCCGACCAGGCTTTGCCGTAAGTCGAATGGAAATGGCAGGCTGCGTTCACGTCTGGTCTTTTCTTGTGAATTGCACTGTGGATCAGGAATCCTGCTGCATTTGCTGGCCTGGACGTGTTGCCTCCCACGGCGGTTCCTGATTCGTCGACTAGGATCAGGTCGGACGGGGTTATCAGTCCGAAATGTAGGCCAAGACTGCAACGGATCGTCACTTGTTAGCATGGTTCCTTGGTGTAATATGTTGTCAAAATGAAAAGGGATATGGCGAGGGCGTACGGGTTTGTCCAGAATCGATCTGGGAATTCGGGGTCCCGCAGCGATATGTGGCCTGCCATGCCCTCCACAAAACCATGTCTGGCAAAGACCCGGAAGGCGCCAGCCATGTGGTTAAGCATGTAGGCCCGGTGCTTATCAAAACTGCTAAACTTTGGAATCCCCGGTAGAGTGATTCCCTGCGACAACGCCTCCAAGCCTTTGCTTTTGGTCGGGACGGTATCGTCCACTGAGGGCGCCATATTGTTTCAAGTCCAGATATCAGACAGATAAGAAGTGAGAGGTATCAAAAGAAAAGAGTTGGGAAAATGTTGAAATGCATCATTTTCGAGTGGTCTCGGACTCTTATCAATGAGGGGAAATTATATCAGGAAGGCGACGCCGAAGTCGTTCAAGAGGCCGATAGGGCGCGATCCGAGTCCTTCTTCGGTCTTGGTATACATACCAGCTGGCTTTATATATGCAGCATGATCGCTTTTTGTTTGGATCTCAATTACAAATCAAACTGCGGAAATGGACTCAGAACTTCCAACGGGTAGCCCTGAGATATCGGCAGATATGTCTAGCAAAAAAGACCCCAGTCTTCATACCGTCCAGTCTGTAGAAGAAGGCCATATTCAAGACGATGTTGCGAAATCGGGCAATCTGCACCGGACATTGACACCTCGTCTAATTCATGTATGTCCTGTTCATTGACATTAACAAAAAAAAAGAACGTTTCCAATTGAACTAACAATGACTCTTGCACAACACAGGTCATTTCACTTGGCTCGAACGTTGGCAGCGGACTTTTCATTGCTACAGGGAAAGCGCTGGCACAGGGAGGTCCAGGGAATATGTTTCTCGGTTATCTCATTGTTTGTATTGGCGTATGGGCCAATCTCCAAACCCTTACGGAAATGACAATCGCATTTCCCACATCCGGCAACTATATCGACTATGCTGATCGCTGGGTTGACCCTGCATTGGCTTTTGGGGCGGGTTTGGCTGAATGGTTAGGTGAGTTGATAGTCCGCAACTACATCCTTTGGGACGTATATGGTCTAATACTGTGTGGTAGGGTGGACGTCTGTTTTCGCTTCTGAGGCTACCTTTTTCGTTGTTCTTGTCAATTTTTGGGCTGAAGGGGCCATACCGGAGGCTGCTCTACGTAAGTACTCTATGTCAATCTTGATACTTTGTTATGTCTCTTTCTCACATTGAGTCACAGTGACAATCTTTCTCGTTCTATGCCTTGCTGTTTTCCTGGTGCCAAACAAATATTTCGGTTGGGTAGAATACTTCGGATCACTAGTTAAAGTGTTTCTTTTCATCTTTATCACACTCATCTCACTTGCAATCATTGGTGGTGCCGGCCCGTCGGGCTATGTTAGAGATGGAAGCACTTGGACCGACTTGCCAGTTTTCAAAAACGGCTTTGGGGCAAGTCTTTTTCTGGTCATATCCTTTCTTTGTTGCCGATACTAATATCTGTTGCAGGGCTTTGCAAATGCTGCACTTCTTGCCATCTGGGCCGCCGGAGATCAAGTCTTTATCGGAGTAATGGGCGGCGAAGCTGAATCGCCTCGGTATTCCATGGCGCACTCGGCAAACCTAGTTCCCTGGCGAGTGGGAGTATTTTACCTTGTCTCGGTCGTTCTCGTCTCCCTGATTGTGCCGTCAGATGATTCACGTCTACTAGGAAGTTCGAGTTCTGCTGCTTCACCTTTCGTTATTGCAGTCCAGAATGCGGGAATTAAGGGTGTTCCTGACTTGATCAACGCGTGCATGATCATTGGAATTACGGCAATCGCCCTGGAAAGCATCTTCCTTCCTTCTCGGATTCTTCGCACAATGGCACTTCAAGAGCTCATACCCTCCTTTTTGGCCAAGACGGATGAAATGGGGCGACCAAGATGGGCCCTCTCTATTACGGCCACCGTGGCAATTATCTTGACTTATATGAGTTTGAGCGGTAAATATAGACACCCCTCTACTTTTCTTTCGGTTCCTTTGCTCACTGAAAATGAATACATAGCGGGCGGATTGGAGGTTTTGAACTGGCTGATCTCCATCACAAGTACATCATTCTTTATAAACTGGGCCATTATTGCATTTACGTCGTTTCGATTCCGCGCAGCCGTCAAAGCCCAGAAAGGCTCGATTTTCAACGGACCGTATGGATGGAAATCTCCTTACTGGCCTCTCGCTCCGACTACAGTTTTGGTTATTTCTGCCTTCTTGTTAGTATGCGTTCTATATTTGAGCATCGACGGTGTAGTATGTAATCAATCTTCTCTTGCATCAAATCGGGCCCTAACAGTGGTTTCCATACAGACCCAGACTGGTTTCACCGTGTACAGCTTTTTCTCCTACAACATTGGTCTTGTATTGATTATTGTATCAATGATCTTATACAAAATTATTTTACGCACACCATGGCGTGATCCAGCAATGGCCGACTTGGTTACTGGCCACCGCATACTAACAGCGCATGAGATACAAGAGTTGGATGCCTATTATCAGCGACCAATGTGGCGGCGGGTGGGCACTTATTTAAGGATGTGGTGATCATTATTGATGAAAACAAACGTAATGTGTTGGTATAATTTATTATAGACATCTTGGCCGCCTGTAGATCTAATCGACAGGCTGTGAAGTCCTGGTTTATTCCAATGTAATTAGTTGTGCAATCTCCAAACGATTTACAGAGTACTGCTACTCGAGATATTAACCAAAGGAAAAACTAACATTCAGATGCCCATCTTTCCTTGCCACATCTTGAAAAGCCTTAAAGAGGACGGCCGAGATTGATACGTCTGATAAAAACCAGTTCCGCTCGAAGGGCTCACCTACAAAGCAGGAAGAGTCTGTCTTTTGGACATAGGACCAGAGTATTTCAATTGGTAGCTCGGTTTTCGCATATGGTTGAACCTCTTTCAATGCACAAAAGAGGCGCCGTAAAACAGTTCTACAGTGTCTATGGTAGGGACGTGGAAACTCAGTCAGAATTGGGTTTGGCTGACGTGGAGAAGATGGGGTCTTCAGCGAGACTCAAAATCCGGGGAACCTGAAAATCACCAAAATTAAATAAAGCAAGTACACCCGCATTTCAGTTGTTTGTTGGAGTCAATATCAATTTTAACAGTCAGAGACCGTAACGGGGGCTCATAAGCGCGGCTATGGCTCCCGATCTGGACGTGGGGAGCCCCATGTTGCCCTATTACATCACTCGACACTCTCTAGACCGTTTTGGGTAAACTCGCTCAGAACAATTGAATCTCCACTCCAAACGAAGCGGGATAATCTCCATAGCATCCCACTTGGAAATCATATAAGTCCTCGCAGATCCCCCACAATGTAGAGAGAAATATCCCCCCTTTACCAAAAATCAAGATTTGACAACATGGTTCAGATCAAGACCCCATCCGCCTCTATGCTTCTCGCAAGTTTGACCGCTATGGGCGCCGCTATCGGTTGCTCCGCGGCAACTGTAACCAACAGCCTATTGCTTGCCGAAGTAGCCAACCAGCTATCCATCCCAGCATCGACATGGTCCGCCAACGGCACGCACACAGCGAAGGGGTACACCAGCAAGTCCGCTGAAACAGCCTATGTCGAGGGCCTGAAGCAAGACTGCGATAACATCAATCTGAACAAGAAGCTTGCCACCGACTTCCGCAGCGACGTCCTCGGTGCGGGCGTGATCGGATTCTTTTATAAGTGCGAGAAGATCAGTGACGATACCAACAAGTACTGGTTCACTATCAGTGCTGGAAACAAGGCTCAGATTGATCAGCTTTGTGATCAGGATACTACCTATCCCATTGTCTATGATCAACAGCACAATACTTGGTTTATTGATGAGCCTTTTGATTGCACTCGTCGTACCAACCCAACAGACTTTTTCTAGGTTATGACATGACTTGCACTGGTAAGTTCAGCACGCGCCCAAAATGTTTAGATTAAGAGACTAACAACGGCTGAAAGTGGGAATGGAGCCTAGATTGAATGTCACACTTGAGGTGCTCCTTTTTGTTCTCAATTTTGATGCCCAGGTGGCTTCCACGGTTGCGAGTCACGAAAAACCTCCATTCCTGTTGAAAAGAACGTAACGCTCAGTAGTTACAATTCCTTGTGTTTATTCCATCAACTATTCATGTACTATCTAAATTCATGTCTTATGCGATACCAAGCTGTATAAGGCGGTTGGAGATTCAAATAAAAAACAATCCTTGTGCTAAAAAAAAATGATGAACAGAAAGGAAAATTGTGTAGAGTACAAGACATCACCAAAAGGCGAGAAATTAGACATCAAAAGAAATACCGGAATGAAAGAGCGTAAAAGAGAGAAAAGATTACTCTTGGCCAGTGCGGCCTTCAGGGGCATCCAAACCCCACTCAGTCTTAAGATCAGGCGTAAGAATACCTGACTTTTTGAGAATCGTCTCGGCCAGAGCTGGGACCGAATCGCTCGTGAGAATCTCCAAAATTTGCAAATTAGCCTCCAATTCGCGGGTGATCCAGTTTCGGATCTCAATGGCAACTAATGAATCCAGACCATACACCGAGATTGGCGAGGCTGGATCAAGCTCTTCGATGGGACGCATCAGAATACTGGAAATCTTTTGAAGTACAGCAGCGCCAATTGCTGCCTCGGCGGCGTCACGGTTCTTGGATTGACGGATAGCAGACGCTGGGGAAATTTCGGTGCCGCTCTGCACAGACTCGGCCAATGCGCCCGCGCCAGCGAGGGTGGATAGGCGCAAGAGATGTGATAGCTTGGTATCGTTCACCCAGAATGGCTGTTCAGTGATCGGGGTTGTCTTGACGGCTTCGAAGCCTGCCACGCAGTGGCCTTCGCAGGTTGTGTCGAAGTCCTGTCGGATGGCTGCAGTGACGAGGCCACGGATGTCGGTTGCATCGACCGACTCTGTGCCGAGCTGCTTGGTGATTGCCTCGCGCTTCTGGTCGTCAGAAAGATATCCGACTCCACGAACGACCGGCAGATCGATTGTCGAGCAGCGCATCTTCGCTGACTCGGGGTATTGGGCAAGTGCTGCCATGAAGGTTCCACTGGCAGCGTATGGGGATTGACCCATGTTACCGACGAAGCTGGCGGCGGATGAAAGGTTCACGAAGAAGTCGACACTGCCGTTGCTGGTTGTGATTGCGTGTTGGACGTTCCAGATGCCATGGACTCGAGGCATCATAACCGTCTGGTAGTCCTCGAAGCTGAGCTTCTCAAATAGCGTATCCTAAGAATAATGTCAGCGGAGGTAATAATTTAGGGTGTGGAGGACTACTTACACGAAGAACCATGGCTCCGAACACAACACCGCGAGCAGCAGGCATGCGAGCGAGAACGGGGGCGAGATTCTGTTCAACGCTGGACTTGTCCGCAACATCGCAGCGACAGACCTCGACATTGACTCCTTGCCGAGTAAGTTCTTCAATAGCCTGCTTCGCCTTTTCAGTCGAGGCACCGCTCCTCGAAACCAGGATAAGACTTTTGGCTCCTTTCTCCGGCAACCAGCTGGCAATGTCAAGACCAATCCCGCCAGTTCCACCAACGATGATATAGGATGCATCAGATCGGAGGAGATTCTCGTCTCTTCTCGCAGGATGGACCTAGATTGTCTGTCAGACCATGTATGTACCGGGTTGTAAACAGGGGAAACATACCTTAACCATAGAATCATCTGTAATCTGAACGACCATTTTTCCAATGACCTGTCCACCCTGCAAGGCCCGGAATCCAGTTTCGACCTGAGAGATCGGGAGAGTAGTGACCTGCCACCTAGCCTGGGCATTAGAGTCGACAAATAATTTGAAAGCATCACGCAGAAGGCGTTTGGTCAACTGCGGGCGCTTCTCTCGAACCATGCCCAAGTCGACTGACGCGAATGAGAGATTTTTGTTGAAGTGGGCCATCTCCAATCTGGAGTTCTGCGTAATGTCACGCTTTCCAAGTTCGATGAATCGTCCAAACGGCGCAACGCACTCGAATGTAGCCTGCAATGCATCGCCGCTGAGAGAGTTGAGTGCAACATCTACACCTTGGCCACCGGTGGCGCGCTGAATGCCTCGGGCAAAGGACATATCACGACTGAAGAAGATCTGCTCCTCTTTGAGCTGGTACGTCTCCATTAGGAAGTTCTTCTTCTCGATGCTGCCAACCGTGGCAAAAATCTTGGCCCCAATGCTTTGAGCAATAATGATCGCCGCTTGACCAACCCCGCCGGCGGCGGCATGAATCAAGACACTCTCGTCTTGGGTCAATCGGCCGAGATCAATTAGCGAGTAGTATGCCGTACAGAACACAGCGGGGATAGAGGCTGCGATCTCAAAGGACATATCGTCTGGAATAACCCAAGCACCGGATGATGGGCACCGGGTGAAGGTGGACAACGATCCAGGGGACATCGCACAGACACGATCTCCAACCTTGAAATCAGAGACTGCAGAGCCTACCTGAGTGACAACACCGCTACATTCCTGGCCTAGTCTGTCACCTTTGAGTTGACCCATTGCCATCAGGACGTCCCTGAAGTTGAGACCAGTGCTGTATACTTGGATCTCAATGTGATCATCTGGTAGAGATGCGTTGCAGGAGGTATCGTCTGTGAAGTAAAGTTCATCCAAGCCTCGGCCCTCTCCAGCAGCAAGTTTCAATGCCCGGTTCTGCTTGAAGGGTTGCAGCTGGGGAGGCGCAGTCGGCGTCTCTTGTTGAACACTGAGGTTCAGGGCGTGGTTGTCGACCAGTCGAGGAACACAGACATTACCATTTCGAACGACAAATTCCCAGTCACTGTGCATCAACTGCGAACGCTGGCAGAAGACACCCTTGAACACGTTCAACATGTGGCTAACAGCTTCAGCGTCGGGCATACTCTCCCGTTCGCCTAGATCCAGAGTGGCAAACTGGAGACCAGTCTCTGACCGGACCGTGCGGGCAAGACCAATTGCCATATTTGCGCCAAGGGACTCCAGGTCGTGTTTACTGTGTCGAACAACCCACAATAGACCACGAGCACGACTCAACAGTCGCTGGAGTGCCTGGAATTTTTCCTGTGTGAGATGAGACAGGATTGAGCGGTCCATGCCACCAAGGAAAATGCACCATTTCCCGGTGACATCGACCTCATCCGAGTTTTCAGCTGTCGTTGGCACTGCGCCGGTCATATTCTTGAGCCCGGCCTCCAAGCTAAGGAAAGATAGACTACCAATAGACTCAGTGCCAACAATGACAACATCACCATGGTTCATAGGTCCGGCAGCTGGGGCATTGGCCGTAGTGGTCATCAGACAACCAGACTGGAACGAAGCTCCCGGGTACTCCTCAACGCAGAGATCAACGCCAGTGAAGTCATTTGCCTTCATGACGTTGCTCCATCCCTCAACAGTGAGGAGAGGACCATCCTTTCGGAAGTTGTCATTGGCCAGCCACCATCCAGACAGAAGGGCAAAGGGGAAATGACGAGCCTTGGGCACAGTCTCCTCGATGAGAATGATCTTTCCACCAGGCTTAAGGAGGGACCGGATGTTGGCCATGGTCTCATTAATGTTGGATGTGGCATGCAAGACATTACAAGCAACAACAACATCATAGGAGCCAGTGTTGAAGCCCTGTCCAGTGGGATC